CTACCACGTTGAGTGCTGGTGTTGACTAGTACTTCGAAGTACTTACGATTTCCGATGCCCACCATGTATGGTCTGTTATGGACACACGAACAAAATAAACAATTAGCACTCATAATCTTCAACGTTGACGTCTAAATGCACGTACAATCTGGTCGCGTAGGGCTCGATCAAATGAAAGAACTGGTCCCAAATGTATCCAACCGATCGAGCGTAGCTATATATCCGGGATCACATAACGTTGACGTAAGTGTAATATAGGGCGTCATCACAGGTAAGGCCTGCAACAAAGCTGAGCAGTACCTGATGTCGCCGAAGTGCAGCAAGAAGGAATCGTATCCTCCTCCCATCACTTCCTCGTAAACTCTTCCAGCAGTCGACGCCGAGCCTGGCTCAACGTACGCGCCCATATCGGCATACGCAATAAAGTTTGCGTACTTAGTACTCTTTGGAGGCCGCGACTTGAAGCGTCGCACGTGACTCAGAGCATGTCCCTCGTGGCCGTATTGGTAGTAATAGTACGTGTCCGGCTTCAAGTCCGTCATGATAACCGTGTGCATGAACCCAGGATCCCGGAACGCTCGCTGTCCCAGAACATTCGCCGGCTCGTGGCATCTACAAGATGCAACATCGGAGTCAGTGTCACCACAGCGCTCACTATACGACAGTTCACTCACAAGTCATCGGCTCCGTAGGTCGTCGTCGTCCCCGTCGCATGGAACTTCAGGTCCTGCGGGTTCTCCCCATACTTAACCATGGGTGTCTTCGAGGATCCCGAATTGAACAAAATAGCCATAGCCGTCTCATCGTCCGTCAGACTCAAGTGACCGTGCTTTGGTGTATCGAACGGCTCCTTCATGCCTGCCTCCACCTTGGCAATGGGCTTGAACTTGTCAGTCTTCTCGTCATAGTTAAAATACACAGCTGTGTAGTTGCATCTCATCATATAAAGCTCCGAGAAGCGGACGGAATGATCATTGGCGTCCGTCTCCTTCACACCTTTTTTCATTAAGTAGTCTCCATCCCCGGTCGTGGGGCCACAACTCAGTGTCAAGTAGTCTCTACTGGTTAAAGTAGAGGACGCTTCCCCCTCCCAAGACACAACGAGATCACCGCCATCCTCCACCAATGGAGGGTACGTCTTCAACTTAAACCCCTTCGACTCCTCGCTCAGCGGAGTGAGCACAACGTCTCGCTTCAAGGCGATCAAGAGCGTGACGGCAGCTGCGACACCGCACAGCGCGACGGCTACGAGGACGGCCATGCGCTTGGCTAGACGGCGATGTGTACCCATCGTCTCAGTGGGCGCATCGTCGTCCGCCACAAGCGTGTACTTAGCTCCATGATCGCGCAGCATATTGCGGACAGCGGAAAAACTTCAACTGAGAAGGAAATCATCATGAGGTTACACCAAGTCGAGGTTACGCTACAACGTACCCCATACGAAATCCAAGATACTCTGGGATTGTCCAGGCCTAGTCCCTTGTCACGACCTCCTCTTTACAATTCATAGTTTAAAGACGGGGTGTCACCCATACAAAAAATTGGTCGTGGCTACGGGTCCGAGCCAAAACCAGTCATTTCGGCCGCCCGACGGCATAACAGCACGCCCAGCAAGAAGAGGGAGATAGCAGCAACCATGGCGGACCGCCGCGACGAGAAGCCCGCGGATTTTTTGCTGCCGGAGACGGTGAAGAGCTGGTTCTCGCACATGTACACTCACCTGATCTCGGGCAACGTGGCGGAGATGGCGCGCCTGTACGACCGCGAGTTCCACAACCTGACTAACAACTACTTCAAGCAGGCCTCGTGGCCCGAGCCCAGCGCTGTGGAGTCGCTTGTGGACGAGGATCCGACTTTCTTGCTGCTGTACAAACAGATCTACTTCCGTCACCTCTTTTCGCGCCTTCAGCCCGGTATGGACATGAAGGTGGCGTCCTGGGAGACGTATGTGGCCATCTTTGACGGCGTATTGGACGGCTCGCTCGAGCTCGAGGCGCTTCCTTCGCAGTGGGTCTTTGACATTGTTGGAGAGTTTGTCTACCAGTACCAGTCGTACTGCCAGTTCCGTGCCAAGGTGGCCACTAAGGGCGAGCAGGAGATTGCTTCGTACACTAAGAACCTTTTCATCTGGGACACTAGCAAGGTGCTGGGCTACCTGCACGCTCTAGTGCGTCACTCTAAGATCGTCGAGATTCTCAAGGAGGAGGAGGGTGCTAAGGCTCCGTCCGAGGTCGTCAAGGAGCTCGGATACTTCAGTCTCATCACGTTGGCTCGTGCCCACGTGCTGTTCGGAGACTACTACACGTCGCTTAAGCTGCTTGAGCCCATCGATCTGTTCAACAAGAGCTCGCGTGGTGAGGTCAAGACCACGGCTCAGATCCACGAGAAGTCCCCTGGCTGCCACGTCTCCGTGTTCTACCACATGGGCTTCGCCCAGCTCATGCTCGAGGACTTTGCTGCCGCGATCCGCTCGTTCTCTACCATTATTCTGCAGGTGAACCGCAACCGTAACTACTACTCACGTTTCGCTGACTACGAGCAGCTACACAAGCTTACGGAGAAGGCTATGGCTCTGCTTGCCATCGCTCTCTTCCTGTGCCCGGGCCAGCGCGTGAACGACCAGATCCACTCGCTTATCCGCGAGAAGTACGGCGACAAGCAGAGCAAGCTGCAGAAGGGCGACATCTCGGCTCTGACCGAGCTGTTCGGCTTCTCGTGCCCTAAGTTCATCCTGCCCGCCGTGGCGGTGGAGGGCGATGCTCCCGTTAACCGCAGCGCTGAGGCCTCGCAGCGACAGCAGAAGGCCTTCAGCGACATGGTCGCCCGTCAGCAGCACATCCCGGCCGTGCGCTCGTACATTAAGCTGTACCGTTCGATCGATCTGGAGAAGCTCGCTGCTTTCCGCGGCGTGGACGTTGAGCTGGCTCGCGCTGAGCTGATGGCTCTGAAGGTCAGCGGCTCGCGTCTCAAGTCGGACGTGCACTTTTTCCTGAACAACAACCTGGTCCTCATCGACGAGGAGACGAGCAACCAGCGTACGGGCGAGTTCTTTATCAACCACATTCACAAATTCGCGCGCATTGTGGACGAGTGCGCCGTCAGCCAGTAAGTTGTTCAGTAGTCCAGACGACCTCGCCCCAGTACTGAAGTGACAAACGCGTTGAATGGCAAGGAAATGATCTCTTCAGTGCTGTGGTTATACTCAGATGGTAACAGGGGGAAAAGGAAAGCGAGACGGAACGACTGGAAGAGACGGAGGACAAGACGTAACAGGGTGAAGGCGAATGGAGGAGCTGGTGTGAAGAGGCCATAGAGGCCCGATAACTTGCATGCGCGTGTGTACTCGTTGAGGCGTTTGCAGATAGGAGAAGGTAGGTAGGTAGATAAGTAGCCAACCAGCAGCAGCACAGCAATTCTATCCGCTTTCACCCTTTTGCGATTGTTTAGCTGCTTATGCTCTCCTTTCCAACATTAGGCTTCAGTTAGTGCATGGGGGCTGTAATCTTTATACTTTTGCTTCACCCAGCGACAACGCACGCGCACTTGGAGTCGAGGACTTCTTGCTAGCAACAACAACACAGTAGTGTGCCTGCAACAAATGAAACTCTTCTAGTTCATCGAAGATCTCGAGCTTCTCGCGTCTAATCAAAAACACACAGGGACGTCAACAACTGTACCATCAACCAGCACAGCTCAATCTGTACGTACTTGACGCGTTCAGCAGGATTCAGGTAGTGGTAGTAGATCTTGTTCATGTCCCAGCACTGTGCCACCTCGTACTTATGCTCTGTAAACCGCGCGATCTGCGCTTCAACCGTCGGGAAGTCGTAGATACTTAGAAGATCACAACCGCGAGCCTTGATGTTTTGCATCATGACCTTCCCAAACGCGTCGTCGGGTAATATCTGCTCGTACAGCGCGAAGCTTACATCATCAAAATATGACGCAGCCCAGGCCACCAGCTGCGTGGAGAACCTGGCTTCCATGTAGATGAGCACACACTCCGACACAAAGAGCGTCGGGACACTGCGATCGATGCCGGCCGCCTCCATCTTGGCTGTTGTAGCGCCCAGGTCCCTCAAATCACAGGGCAGCAGGTGATATCCGGGTACATTCAGCTCTGTGTAGCCCGAGGATACTGCAGCCATAAAGTCCTTGGGCGACTCCAGCCCCAGCAGTCCGTTAAGAGGTTTGCGACGTTTAATAGTGCTCACCTTCTGCATTGTAACCTCTGGGAAATCCAGCTCGAAGTACTCGAAGTTAGTGAGCATTTCACTGCTCTTCAAGCGGAAGAACATGGTGTCCAGCCCCGCGCCCAAGATCACCACCTGCTTCTTGTGCTGTCCAGCAGCCAGGAACTTCCGCACAAGCGACTCGACTGCAGCCACACGCGCGTAGTATCCACGGTTGATGATCGGCATGCGACGCGACGGCGCCTTGACGAAGAATTGCACGAATGGGTCCACGTAGTAGCCCAGTTGACACGCTGAAAGCTTGCACAGCGACGCGTCCGACGCAGTCTCGCGGACAGCGCCATCATGCTCGGCGCTACCTGCCATGGTCGACTCCATCTTGAAAAAGTAAGCTACATGATGTTAATGTACGCATGGTGGGGTACATCAGATTTGTTAAGTGCGAGTGACGTGGCTATCGTCACAATTGGTGTAATATTAGTGGGGTACGTCACCCTATTTAAGTGCGACTGACGTGGCGTGGTTGCATCGCGTGCAGCGAATCGATATCCTGGCGGCTCGATCACGATGTCGCTCACATTTTTCGCTGATGGAGCGTTGGATAGCCAGGCTTCATTGACATCCTGCCCACAAACCTGGACTTCTATTTGTCGTTGTGACGGTTATCGCTGGTGCTTCGTGTGCTGCACAGGACCTGCGAACGAAGAGCTTATAGTCGGAAAGCAGCAAAGCGAGACTTTTATGTGGCGCATCACCCGCAAAGCCAAGAAATAAAAAACACAGCAGCGTTGCACTGGAGTTCAGCAAGGAGACCGTCAACAGTCTCACCACTGCTTCGAACTGGAGCTATCATACAGTGAACGCGCAGCCACAGAAACCTTAGCCTGGTCTGCCTGCAGTTGCGATGGGCACCGCACTGAACGCCTTCTTCTTAGCGGCATGTTCTCGTTGACAGCGAGGAAGACTATCATACGACCCGCGTGATGCCAAAACGTGCTATTCGTCGATTTTCGATGGCTTGAGCTTACAGTTTTTCATACAAGCGTCAAGTCATTGAACTGAATACTTGCCTTTTGAGGGACAATACAAAAAGGACGTTCGACTTTATTGGCGAGCCGGACGCTTGAGAGTGGCACCACCTTTTTGTCGTTCAACGCCGCGGTTGACAACGCGTCGCTACGTCGAATCTCGGTCCCCCCCCTCGAGTTTCTATCGTCACATTTCGCAATCGACGCGGCCACCAGCAAAGTCTCCAATCGGTACGACATACAAAAATAAAGTGAATCGCAACATACGCTTATAGTCAACTCGATGGAAATTGGGCGCCTTCGTCTCACCCCCACGTTGTGCATTGCTACAGCCCCAGGTGGAACCCCCAGCCGGCCGCAGTAACGGGATTCTCGTGTCAGCTGGACACTTGTCACCGCTCCATCAGAGGTTAAAACACCCGAAAGAGCACGCGGGTCTATGGAGAAGCGTGTGAGCTGCGGCACATTAAACAGCAGTAGCGTAATGGACCGCAACAGTGGCAGAGTGCTGCTGGACTATCGGGCATCCGAGCCTGTGCTGGCTGAGAGCGATCACTCGAGTCTGTCGGATGCGCCGCTCTCCAGGTCGCAGATCCAGCGACCGTCCAAGCCCGTGGCGGCCCCTTGGAACCCTGGAAACGTGTCGGTGCCTCAGCAACATCAGCCGCGAACAGCTATGCGGCGGAAGCTTAAGCTTCCTGGTCGGTCCAGGCACAAACACGTCACCAAACTCCCGCGAATGGACGAAGTGATCCCGCGCGTGGAGATCACGGACGCACAGCAGGCGGAGATGCGTGATCAGGCCGAAGGACTCATCGCGAGCTGCTTGCTAAAGTCCAAGGCGGCGTGGGACGGCACCAAGCAGATTTTCGACGATCCAAAGCAGTGGAAACTCCACAGCGCTAAACCACACTTGGCCATCTACAAACGCAAAGATCCGCACCGTCGTAGCGCGACGGCACATCAGTTTGTGGCCTCTGGACGAATCCCCGCACTCACGTTGCAAGACGTCGAGTACGGCAAGTACAGCGACACGACGCTGGACGAACGATCCATCAGCGCGTATTTGTTCCGTGACTATTTCTTGGATGCTGCGGTGCTTCAAGTACTGGAGACGCAGACGGAGGACGACCCGTTCCGCTTCTTTGGCATCAAGTGGATGGCGTTTGCGAGTCCTAGTGGACCAGCCAAGTTCTTCTCACCTCGAGATCACGCGTACTACGAGTACGCTAAGACTGTGACTACTGACGAAGGTCACAAAGTGCTCGTCAAGGTCATGCAGTCTGTTGGGGACGACGTGTTGCCTCCATTGACTCAAATCGTAGGTCACGACAAACCCAGTGACGGGGTTGATCCGTCTAAGTTGCGGTTTGTTCGTGGCCACATCTCGATGATCTCCATGTACAGATTCGACGAGGCAACTAACGCCGTTAAGGTGTTTGCTGAAGGCTCGTTGGACCCAGGAGGTCGCGCCGGTACATGGCTGGGAAGCGCCTTCCTTTCTCAATTCGCGCCTACGGTCGTACGTATTGAATACTGCGCTGACATCAAGTACATCATGAAGCACGGCATGATCTTCCCACACCCGCCAGCTGCCCTAAGTCACTCGCAATCCAATCAAAGCCTCGATAAGAGCCAAAGCACCATAAGTGGCTCCGAAGTGACAGCCCACGGCCCCGCTGCAATGCCCTTCTCGGCCTCACAGCATGGTCTCGCTTCATTCTCGATGACTCCGACGCCTGAAATGAGTCGAATGTCCATCAATCCTCAGCCAAGTTGGGTGCCAGACCACCAACGGAAGGTCTGTTTCGTGTGTTTCAAGAGCTTCGGTATCGTCCGACGCCATCGCCATCACTGCCGGATGTGCGGTGAGGTCATGTGCTCTCGTTGTATGATCACGTTGCCGCTTGTTGCCCCGCCGTCTTCAGCTCCGTGTCCAGAGGAACACGAAGATGCTGAAGGTACTGACAGTCGCCGTTCGCATCGACATGGCAACCAACTCGACGGTCGCCCTATGAGTGTGTTGCTCAAGCAGCCAGCCAAGAAGAGTCTGGAGGAGACTCGGCCGAACGGATACCCGGCTGTAAACAACGTGAAGTTGTGCAAGAAGTGCATGTTTAACATCCGTCAGGAGCGCAAGGGAACCATGCGAGGAGCCACCAATTTTTATGCTGCACCGACCATGATCAAACAATTCCCGTTGGTACTACAAGGCTCTCTAGCCGACAACATCGGCTTGCAACCGGGCCCGATGCGTGGCTTCTTCCCAGGTGGACGATACGCTGCTGACGACGAGTTGATCAACAACGCTCAAGGAGACGATGAAGAAGACGATATCGAGGAGACGGATGAGGAATACTCGGCTCGAGTTGAGCGGATGCGGCAGATGCACATGGCTCGTGAGAAGAAGAAGAACTTGCGTCGTAGTATTCTTCTCTATGACGAAGATGATCTCAACAATGGAGGGGAATCTCCGCCCGCTAGACCGAGTCATCTGTTCAATGGAGGCGACAGCACGTTCAACTTTGACGATTTCTTACTACCGACACCCAAGCGAGAAGACGAAGATAATAACCGTCATAGTCGTGGACGGGTAGTGAGCTCTACGAACCAGAGCGATGCGATGCCGCCGTCGATTCCTCGTCGACCGTCCACCACTGCACGTCAGTCTGAGAGCAGCTCGAAGCTTCGGTCTCTGTCCATTCCAGACCAACTGGAGCAGGTAGAACGATCGATCGCTCAGCAGGAGGCATTGATCCGATCCATCACTGAACAACGCAGTAAGATGATCCGGTCTCCGGAAGACGACACGGCCGCCAAGACAGCAGCCACGACAGCCGGTGAAATCTCGTCCGAAGCGCGGTCTTCTTTGCTGTACCCTGGGTCTACCCAAACTGCGCCGACACCTAGAGGCGACGCACTGTTCACTCCACTCTCCCTGCGCTCGTCTTAGAGTTATGTGGTGGACGACAAACTACAAACGACCATGTCGTAACGTGACAAAAAATTCTAGCACACGCTTGATTAAAAAACGAAATACAGTGAATAAAATGTTCGTACGAACTCTAACGCTTCATCCATTTACACCTTGGCAGCGGTAATTGTGGAGACCGCTGCTGCTGCCTCCTTTTTGCGCTCCTGTTCGATGGTAAAAAGGATACGAGCTTGATCCGCCAGCGAGCTTTCCACTTGTGCGAGTGCTTGACGGAGATCTTGCATGGGCTCGTCGATCTCGCTGTATTCGTCGTCTTCGCTGAACAACGAAGTCGTAGACGGCGACGGCGACGGGATCTGGCGGGTTTGGTACAGGGCTTCGTCCTGTAGGTCGCGCATACGGCGCAACACTCGCTCGGTAGCGCTCACAGTGGCTTTAGCCGTTGCAGCGCTAGCAGCGAGTTCATCTTCCTCATCTTTCAGCTCGAACAGGCTGTTCGGGTCGAAGCCTGCCGTGTAGCTGCTCACGCGTCCGTGACTGTCTTCAGGTGGGGGCTTGGACTCCTCGTCCGACACACGATTCGTCTGTGTCGGGTAGAACTGGATGGAGTCGTTGTCATCATTGTCGAGATCACTGGGGATATCGCCGCTGTGTTGACTGCTGTCGTAGCTGCTCTCGTCCTTCTCCATGAACTCCTTCAACTGTGCTGACGTAACAGAGGACGAAGTGGATAACGCGTGAGGAGACAGAATCACCACACGTTCGTGGTTAGCATGACTGTCGAGCGCTCCGTCCTCATGTCCATTCCACTCTTGAGCATATGAGCCTGGTCGAACATACATGGACGACCCAGCTCTCACGTCGAATGCATACGATCCCGGTCTTCGCTTCATCTCAGCAAGACCATCAACACTCTCGTTGTCCTCATCATCCACTACCAGCATCGGGAGATCCAGTTCGCCTCCAGTTTGACCCGGTTCGTCGTCAAGACCGTCGAGTTCTTCCACTTCCCTGTTGTCCGGTGTCCAGGTTTGAGGACGCAGGTGGTAGTCCGAAGTCAAACCAAAGTCTGTGTCGCTTGTAGCAGGGAGCGCTCCATTGAGTGCCATCTCGCTGTGCCTTCGCCGTTGTGAAGACTTGTTCACGAGCGGGACGCTGTGCAGACAGCGGAGACACACCTTGGCCATCACCACACACACTATCGAGTCACCACCAAGCACAGCCGTCTCTAGCGGCCCATTGACAGCTTTCCTTGCATTCACCAAGCTCAAACTCGCGTCGAACTCCCCTCCTTTGCTTTCTTCTTCCTCCACTTGGTTGTCAAAGCTACAGGTCATTGTCTCGTCGAATTTCATGGATGGAGGCTCATCCGCGGCTGCCTTAGTGTCCGAGGCGAGATCACCCGGCGTTGCTATAGTGCCGCGCAAACCACGGAAGCTTTGAGTTGCACGAACATTGACGCGGTATTGGAACGTGCATTCACGACAGATAACTTCACCACAGGCCCGACAATGGTGCTTGAAGCGTCTTACAAGACGGAATTTCTTGTTGCACACAGAGCAACGTGGACGGAGCTCATCAGCGACCCATTCGTGCGCCATCTCAAGCGGTGGACCGGTCGGAACCCTACGACGTCTTGACTTCCTCTTCTTCTTCTTCTTTGACGATTTCTTCGGTGGTTGCTCCACGCCGTCCTGGTCAGTCATAGTGACGCCAAGTGAGGATCCAGACGACCTGTTAGCAGGGAACAGCGAACGCTCAGAGCGCCAAAATGACTTGAGATACTTGTACACAACGGCGTCCGGCATACTGCCTTTCATGTGGATTCTGCCCTTAGCACACACGTGCAACAAGGGGTTTCTCACTTCATTCTCGTCGTCCATCCAGTACACGAACGCAGCTTCGATATGTCCACGTGTGAGACCGAAGTACGAGTCCTGTCCGCCATATCCTCGAACGTGTACGGACTGGGTCACTCGATACAACATCCGACGTCCTGTTTCCGGGTCCACGTGCGTGCCTAGATGCTCGAGATACACAAACTCTCGACTTGCCATCAACGCTTGCATAGGTGAACGTAAAGCCAACCACTTGAGTCCTAAATACCAGAACGGGTCTTCGAGTGTAGCTCCTTCGAGAGTCTGTAAGACGCAGCAATCCAAAGCTGCTTCACCGTATACTTTCCGCTTCAATGCTCGCATCTCGCGCGTGTGTTCACAGTACAGCGTGTTCATGACGTCTTCCAGTGAGTTAGGCAGCACTGCGTGAGCCATAAAGTGCTGCCCACTGGCGGCTTCTAAGGGAACAGGTGCGAAAGGTTGGAAGCTTCTCTGGCCCCGAACGATGTCGGAACCATGGAAGCTGCCCAGGCTCGTGACCCCCGGGATCGTGACGCGTGGAGTTGGAGGCGTCATCCGTTTATCGTCTTCTTCTTGTACCTGTTCCCTCTGCTGTGTCTGTCGTTTGTTCTTCTTCTTCTTCTTGGTTTGTCGCTTCGTCATGAAGCAAGCCGTGGGTCGAGCTGAGAGCACCTTCCAGCCGCTAGATACGGCACGCTCGATGTTGGAGCGTCCCCACGTCGGTCCGTCGCGGACTGTGTCCAGTGCCGCTTGCAGTGCATATCGACGCAGTTCCTCATGCTGTGCTGGCGAGATGTTCAATTGGGGAAGCAGACTCTCGTCCACGGGGAAGAAGGACGACGTGATGGCCACCCGCTTGTGTTGTTGGATCTCCATGCTCTATACACCGCCCGGTGGTCACTATAAGGTTGTTGCGGAGCTGTTCAAGCCGTCAGAGCGCACACCCGATGAATACCCAAGGTCACCGCGGATTTTAATGGCGCTGGTCGCGCCAGGTGAGTCTTTTCGGACGGGGCCTGGAGCTCCAGTACACCGGGTGCAGCTTTGGCGCTCACTTAGGACGGCGAGCGGGAAAATGCGAGAGAGGATGAAGCGCGTGCGTGGCTGCTGCAGCCGTCTGGATCGGCGCCGGCGGGACCGCCGCGTCTGTCGGCCCAGGCTGTGCACGGAGCATTTGGCCACTTCGAGTTTGGGCAGCTGGCGAGTCGCAACGGGACGCTCGGCCCCAGCTTTGCAGCGCACGTGCGCCTCGATTCCACGCTGATAAAGGCCACAAACGGGCCCGCGTACGTGGCTTCAGCTCAAGTGAAGACACACTTGTCGAGACCGTGGCATCGAGTGAGGAATGGGTCATCAGAGTGACCAAATTCTCCTCCATCCTCCAACGGTAATGGAAGTTCATGGATATGTTACAGGAGCTGTTACTCTTTCGACGGCGCTAATGACGGATCTGTATGCTAATCACGGTCGAGACTCGCGGGCATCACCCATCCCGTTGTCGCGAGGAATGGCTGGAAGCGAGCTCTCTTGGCTGGAGGTCCGTTCGATGGTGTGATAGTCTACCAAAGCCGGGCGAGGCTGATACGATCGTGAAAGGGCGTTTAGGCGCGTCTTGAAACGAGGATCGATAAGGTGAACTCGTTCATCATGAACTTCATGGGCCGTGGATCTCATCAAACCTCTACCTGGTGCGACCGACAAAAGCTGGAGCACATGTTGGTACCAGCCGGTTGGAGCAAGCTAGTCGCGCGTGCAAGCAATTGAAAGTCCTTCGTGACACACGTTCGGTAAACAACATCGAAAGACCGAGAGTGTCACGGACTCGACCAGGTTGACAAGGTATCCTTCTCCGATTCCAAGCGGTGTTGCACGTGCCAAACGAGAGCCATCAACTTGAAGCGTATCTTCATTACAAGTACTTGCACTAACTGGATTGGATCATTGCATTGGTAAGACTCGGTAGCAAGCTTACAATCGAGCCCAAAGCTCATCTGTTCCTGCTGCTTCAGCAGACCAGTGACGGAGCATCGCTGCTGGTCGTCACCAAACACGGCGCAACTAAAACCATACCTAAGTATTACTGTACGTACACTGTATCAAACGTGTTCCTTTCCGACTATTATAGCCACTGTAGTTGACTCATGCGCAAAAAGGATGTCGACGATGAGCCGGGGTTCTATCAAGCCTATCGAGTTCGCCATCACTGATTGCTTCACTTATTAGAAAACATAAGCAACAGCTTTTCCGGTGGCGTGCTGCATAATGCAGCCTGCATAGCACAACAGTACGAAGGCAACTCAAATAAACACCAAAGAACCAAATGTGAACGGACTTTAGATTGCTTAATCCGAAGCAATCAGCCATCAGTCATACATAGCAACAGCCACGATTAGGCCTTCTTGGCGGTGAGTACGAGTGGGCCGACATTGTCACCCGTCTCCTTGTTGTGCTTCATGTGGGAGCCGTCGCAGTATGGGAACTTCTTAGACTTCCAGCAGCGGCAAAGTGTGCACTTGCCCTTGCTCTTGATCACGTCCTCCACATCAGGGACCGATACAAAGTCCACGACCTTCTCCTTCTCCAGTTGGATCTTGTGGTTCACGCGGCCAGGCTTCGAGTTGTTCTTACCGGCGAACAGCGTGAGTCCCAGCACGAAGATGGTGATGAGCAGAGGCGCCAGATACATCCACTCGTCCTGCTTGAGCTTCAGGAAACCCGAGAACGTGCGAGGCAGCGGCAGGCCCTTGAGATAGCGCGGCAAATCTGACTTAAGGTACTTGCGGATGACGTCCATGATGGCGGAGTGTGCGGCGCTGAGCGAGTCGACGAGTGATCTTTGGCTCAGTGCAGTAGAGAAGTGCAGAACCACCAGAATGGATTTGTAACCAATCACAGAGTTTAAACAGATTATGGACCAATCAACTGCTTTAAATGAAATGATTCGCTGAAAATCAAAGCTCGTTTGACCAATCGAATGTTCCCTGCTGATTGAAGCATGCTCACTTCCTCTTGGAGATTTTGGTGTACTTGGACGACCGCTTCTCCGTAGTTGTTGTGGTCGTCGAGCTGTAGGATGCCGAGGCAGTCGATGTCTTCGGCTTCTTTGGAATGGGTTCGCCTAGTAGCTTCTTCTCGGCGAACTCCAGAGCCCAGTCGTGGTTGTGCAAGCGGAGGCTCACGCGCTCCTGCTTGTACACCTTGGGCGCGTCGAAGGCCATGTTGGGGCCGGCGCCCATACCCATCTGCATCTGCATGGCCTTGGTGTCGTCGCTAGCTGCAAGAGGTAGAAAAGTTATAGTTAGATCTTGGTCCATAATTGAAGACGTGCAGTAGAAGACTTACCGCTCTTCTCGCCGAGAATGAGCGAGAGGAAACCACGCATGCCGAAGCTCACGAGGAAATACCAGGACACCGAGGAGACATATGACACATCCAGCGTGCTGTGAACACACATTAATAACAATATGGTAAGCAACAGAGTTTTTCGAGATCATGGATAAGGCACCAGTCATTACTTGAGCTCAATGCCGCGCTGCAGCATCATCTTGAACTTTTGAGTCAGCGAGAACGGCACTTTAGCTGTCATGAATACCGAGGACAGATTGAGTATAAAAAACATTGAATGTGGGCGCAAGAATTGAGCCAACGCACCGAGCACGAAGCCGCCGAAGAAGTAGCTCATGAGTCCCATCATGACGAAGTTGGACACCATGAAGGTCATGTTGCCCTTCATCATCTCCAGCATCGAGTTGGGGTTCATCATCTGGTTCATGGCCTCGCTCTTAACCTTCTCCCGTAGCGCGCCCTTCAACCCATCTTTCTTCTGCGATGCCGTGAAGTAGTGCTGCTCAGTCACCGCAAAGAGTACACGCCAGTTAATTTCTTCAATAGCCTGCACTGCGGCATTCTCCTTCTTACCCTTCGCATAGCAAAGGCATCGGGCGAGATGAACTTAGAGTTGACACGCGTAATCTGCGCACGCTTCACCGTGTTCCTGTCACCCAAAGATCACAGCATACACATATCAGTTCTACTTCGTTCTCCTGTATCAAGGTAGGATGATTCTACCGTCTCTAGTGAAAGTAATAGCCTCCCCACATAGCTTTATCTGATGACGTACATGGGCGTAAGCTGCTCGACGCTAGCCATCTTCTCATTCTTGAGCAGCAGCGTGACGTAGTGGCGTACCATGGCCGAGCATCCGAAGATGATGACCATGGGCAGCACCACCCAATCGCGGATGCTCGGGTCCAGGATGATCTCCACCATGCTCGTACAGATTTGCCCCCCTTGTCGTGAATGGAGTCACACCACGCGGTCTCTTACTTATTGGTCGAAATTAGCAAAATATTTCATCCAATCCAAACGTCGAAGAGTGATGGTCGTCATGTTTCCCTGTGCGACGCTTCAACATAACAATTCCGCACTGGATGACGGATGTCTTGGAAGAGATAACAGCGCAGCCCGCGCTCCCTGCACGACCTACTTCCGGCGACAATGTGCCTCAACGCACGGTCTTGTACGCGCGGAAGGGCGCGGGATCCACGCAGAGACGCGCTGGACGTCGGGAGCTGGCGGTGCCGAACTGGTTCGACCTTCCGGTGCTATTACCCGAGACACACCCCGTGGCTGCGCGTATCCAGCGCAATACCTTAACCCGGACATCACGAGAAGGAACAATGATACGCGGAAACAGTGAGCCTCAACTTGCTAAGCCGAAAGTTTCCCGACTGGGGTCGAGAGAGGAGGCAGAGGAGCGTAAAGTGAGGAAGATGGGAGCAATGGTGCTCAAGAGCGCCATGAGGCGACGACAAAGCACGAGAGTCAGGAAGCTCGAAGGACTGAAGTACGTGGATCGGAAGAATAGACTCAGAGAGAAGTTATGGAAGGATTTAAGCAGATTTGGGCTGTGGCCCATGTCAGGCTCTGGGGATGCCGACTATCAACGATCAGTGGAGAACACGGTAGACGCCATTTGGAACCAGTGGCAGGATAATGCAGAGAAGACCCCGTTGAGTGGTGTGGATAGTGGAAGCAATGAATGGAGGTTTGGTATAGGATATAATGTGGTTTTGGACGCGGACGATGACGTCAACGGGATCTTTTTGACTGGAGTGCCGTCGGTACCAAGCTCTGCGACGCCAGAGACGACAGAGACGGAATCAGACGTGACGAGTAGGAGAAGATCGTCAGTTTTTACGGACAGTGCAGGGCTTGAAGCACCAGAAGAAGAGGACAATAATGACGAGGAGGATAAATTGTCAAATTTTGGCTTTTCAGCAGCTCGACTTCAGGCGAAAGTTCAGACTCCTGGGATGAAACGACGCAAAAGACTGACTGATCTGCATCACTTTGTGGAAACTCAACTGCAGAAGCGGTTGTTCCGGTCGTGGGATACGATTGAGATTGCGTTTACAGGGAGTGGAGAAATGACTGTCAATCAGATCGTTAAATTCCTGCAGCTTTCGGACGTCCAACTTGGCGATAAGGACGCAGCTAAGGTCCAGAAGATACTGGAAGACCACGTTACAGCAATGCAAGCAGCTCAGAAAGCAAATGAAGAAGGAGATGAAGAGGATCATTTTATACGAGGACGAACCAAGTCAAAAGCAGTTTTATCGTTTGAAGGCTTTCGTCAAATCTTTCATCCTGTCGATCTTCAAGAGGCTTCAAGGTGGAAACGCGAGTTCGACCGCGAGAAATTCCGCCAAAGGCAGGAAAAAGACATTTATACCAGGGAACTGGAGGCTCTAGAAGAGAAAGGTAAGATCCAGTACCGTGTAAATTGTTACTTTGACACTGCTATCTACTCACAGCGAATTCATTGCGCTTTTTCCAGTTCGGCAACGCTTAGCAACATCAGCCAAGCACATGATCGAGCACTTGCAGCAGTTTAAATGCGACCCTAGAGATATTCCTTGGGAAAACGAGCAGCAGCGCTTACAAATGCGATCCCAATTTCTAGAGGTCATCTTCCAGAAACCACAGCGCAGACGTTTATTGCAACTTGGGAATAGACTTCCGCATTCAGATACCGAATCTCCTGGAGTACATACGATGAATGGTATTCCGGACAAGCTACGAATCAAAGTTATCCTGTCCACACTTCTTCAAAAGTACTCGCGAAATGGACATTTCGAGAGTGTCGAGGTTCCAGCGGCGGCGTACTTGTATCACGACTTGGCAGCGGATATCATGAAGCAAAGTATCCGTCGGTACTGGGAGAGATTTGAAATCGACCAATGGCCCGAGCGGCAAATAGTTTCCCGTTTTCGCATGAAAAAGCAAATTTTCTATGACTGGCGCATATTTGCTGAGCGTACGAAGATGCTGCGCATACATGTTCTGCGCAAATTTGTTGCCTGGAAGTACATGACCCGCAAGCTGCATGAACATTACGCGTTCTATCGTATCAGCTTTTGGCCATTTTACGTTTGGAAGCGTCATCTCCAGCAAATGATCATTGCGCATGGCAAAACCGAATTTTTGATGAATGTTTTGCGCACGTACATTCAGCTACGAAACTTTCGTGCGTTGAAACTGCGGTATAAAACAAAGCAATGGAATAAGAAGCAAATTGAACGCGTCCGAAAGAAGAAGGCTAGACAAATTCGCCGTATCTGCTGGCAAACCTGGAAAGATCGATTTCAAAGCGCGCGGTTGATACGTCAGATCTGGCGAAATCACGGAAATACGCTCCAGCAACTACACAAGTTTTACATGGTGAGGGTGACATTTTATATTCTGCGCTACTACTCAATTTTGAAGAGGGATATGAGGCATCGCAAGTACGTGAGCCTATTGAGTCAATTCTCCGTTAGAGCGAGAGCTAAGACGCTGGCACAGCATCAACGCCAGCATCATGGAGCGAATAATCATGGCCGCGCTGTTCAACAGCGTGGATCGTTGTATCCAGCTGACAGTGCACATGCAAAGGCATCCTCAACACGCCGTAGCCTTCCAATGTCGACATATGAATCACCCCAACATGGAAGAGGGTCAACGGCAGATGCAAGGAATATGCGCGGTTCTGTTTTGTTACTGGCGGCAGACGAAGAGCATAATATCGAGATCTCACGACTCAATTCACATCCCGATAATCCATCCACTGAGGCTAGCGACGGAACTACTGCTGGGTCTTTGACGAGGATCATGGAAACCGAGTTGGGGAAGAAGATCAAACGTAAAAGTCGTCTTTACGATTTGTGTCTCGGTTTATATCTGAAATATCGGGAACGGGATCGTATCAATATGATTGGAAATGTGATTGCTTATCGGCGCTTTGGTCGTCTCTTTATGAAATACTTGCGGGCAACGGTACAGCGAGGCAAACTCAACCGCTTTGCTACTGATTTGGGCGCATTCCGTGTAATGAACTCTCGTTTCCGACAGTGGATGATTGGCACCGTATACAAGCTTCCCCCAGCAGCACAAGGCGAAGCTGAGTCGGTGAAGAAGGATGAAGAATCCGAGGAAATAGGAGAGAAAGTAGTTTTACACTGGCGTGAAGACCGAGAATGGCGTCTCCAAGCTATTGCGAATAACCCGATTCGAGCACAACAGCTTCGTCAAGATCTTCTTTCTATTATGGAGAATGACTCGATGCGAAAAGAAACCATACGAAGTCGTGAGCTACTGCTGACTAAGAAGCAAACCAATGAAGAAGCGTTTTTACGCATGGAAGCTAGCGCAACTTTGAAAATTAAGGCGGCTCAGATGCAGCAAGTGCAGCAAATTATGCGACGACGGGCACATCGTCTCCATGACGCGATGGATAATGTGTACGATGTTTTGCTGCAACAACAAGCAAGACAACAGCTAAAATCGAGCTTCCGTAGCCTTCGCATCGTCGTTATGATGAAGCACACGAGTGTACTCTGCCATCGTGCGCAGATCTGCAACTGGCTTCGCCTGTGTTACCGCTTCATGTACTGGGAGCGGAACATGGGCGTATTTTACAAACTCAAGCTAAAGTATCACGCCTTTCAGACACTACTGAAATATGCTGTTTGGAAGTGGAAGTTCCAGTCGCCGAAGCTATCGCAAAAGCTTCAACGTTCACAACAGCTCATGTGGAAGTATGAGCATTTTATGGAAGAGCAAGGGCTGTTCGATGGTAGCGCAGAGTCCTTACAGCTTGTAGGCACAAAACACTCACCAGCGAATTCGTTCCGAGGCACCTTTTTACGGTGGGTGCAATTTGCACAATGCTCAAAAGCGCGGGAAACGGTCGTCAAACTCGTTCGCCGGAAGCGTGATCTCTGGGCGATGCACACGATTTTCCACGCTCTTAAAAACCGAGTCAAGGCGAAGTACACCTACTCAGAGCGGTGCGCTCTTCTACCATATCTGTGGAGGCAATGCATGGTCGATTTGGATACTTATCACTGTAAAATCATCGCGCTGGAACAGCGATTGCCCACGACGAGCTTAAGAGCACAATTGACTCATTCCCGTAAGTTAATGCGGGAGACGGCGATCAGTTCTCCAACGTTAAAGAAGCTTTTCCAAGACCACGAAAACGAAGTTCGCTTACGGCTGCAATTGGAGAAGCGATTAATGCTAGTGGCATACAATGAGCGCGCAGTGCACAACTACGCAGAGCGGTCATCCAGTCTTTTCGGTACAACAGCAGGAAAGCCTTTCACGCACGACAAAGTGCCACCGTTTGGCAGTATCAACGAAATCGGCATCTTTTGCGGCAAGAAAGTGGACGGTATCTGTGTGGTGTTAAAGGCAAGTGGGCAACAGAACATTGAAGGTTCTATCCACGGAAATCCTTTCGGAACTCGCGAAGTCTTCTCACTCATCAGAGGTGAGAAACTTGTTAGCGTCGAGGGGTTTGCTTCACAGTCAATCTATGGACTACGCTTTGGCACGAGTGCTGGGCGGTATTCAAAGTGGTTTGGCCATTGTGAAAAAGGGTCAAAATTCGAGATCCACAGCGACTACCCCAACAATCGCGAAGAAATTGTGGGTTTCTTTGGACATGCTGACAACGCTTCTATCAATTCTTTAGGCGTTGTAATGCGACACACGACGATCAAGAACCCGTTCGAGGGCTTGTGGGTGCAAAAGGATCAGCACGCACAGCATAATCTGCTACAACAGTCAGCACATCGTGGGTCAGTGGACGAATTGGCATTGAGTGATCGACAGTTTGCATACTTCTTGCAGGTTCGTGCATGTGAGGTGTTGATGATTATGGAGAGAGCGCACCTTTTTGCTATACGTGCGTACAAGATCGAAGACACGCTACCTCCTGCTCTTGGAAGTATGCGGATCATCATGGCAATCGCCCGGTGGATGCTCAACGCACTTTCACATGGATTGGTTCAGCGTACTGAGCGCGAAGAGGAAGGGAAGAAGATTCTGTTGAGCGGCCAAGAGAAATATACTGTCGGAGAGAAGTTGCTGTCTGACGGGTCAAGTACAATGCAGATAGTGGACGGATTCCGTGATTCTGCAGGACAATTGGACGCGGCGGTACTTGGAGTCAAGAAGATTATAGAGTTGAAGGAAATGATGACACAGGCTCAGCAGCAAATGGTGCAAGGCGAAAGGCTAAGAGACGAAGGCCAGCACGAGATCATGCGAAGTCAACGATTTCTGCCTCACCTCCCCGCTACGAAGCGCATGATCTCAGCTATCCGAAAGATGTACAAGGTGGTCCAAACCAAGGATGAAATCGACCACATGAACCCAGAATTGCGGTCGATCCTACTACTCAATGGTAAAAGTCCTTCCGCTTCGGCTCCTCCGCTCAAGAAAAGCGGAGGAGCCGAAGCGGTAGGACTTTTACCATTGCAGTGAGGGACAAGCGCCTCCTGTCCGAAAGAAACGACAACGATCTTCCAGAAATAGTGAACTCGCTAAATGGCTGCGCATTTTATTTATACTCTTTCAGTTCGAGAGCCCCTTCTAGAAATCTTCGGTGGAGCGTTCTCTTTTGTGAGCGAGCACCGCTGAAATGGTGCAGACGATTGCGATGAATGAGGCAACGCTCGTCGAGGGCATCGTAAGTGGAGCTATTATCCGAACTGTTTGGCTGAATGCACTAGTCTAATCTGCTATTGTGGATTTACAGGCCAAGTTTGTTGCTGAGGACTTGAGTACACTGAATGGGGATGCTAATTGGTGGCACCAACGAGTACGCTTAGTCGAGCACTGGCTACGTGATGAAACAAGTCGAGTTATCATACCAGATGACGGAACAGAAGAGGTAGGAAGATCGTACAATTCTGGAGCTCACCACTTCAGTTATCTAACAATCCTTTGGTGCTTTAGATGATTCGAAGGCATATTCAACGAGGAGACTCGCACCCTCGAGCGCAGTGCAAGTGCTGGAAACACATCGTGATGGAGCTCCGAGATCTTCCCTGTTTTGCAGGTGTTGTTGCACAAACAAAAAGTCGTGATGCAAAGCAGACGAGTCCAAGTCGGGGAAAATTACGACCTGGAAAGAGCTTGATTGTCCTCTCTGATGGAAAATGCAGTGAAATCAGCAGCAACGCAAGCACTCATGGCGACGATAACGATAGCAACAACGCGTCGTCATCTTGGTCTCTGGAGGCTTTGAATCCTGAAGTCGAACCTCCTGTAGCGACAAAGAGACCTCGACCTGCTTCGAGCGCTGCATATTTGTCACGTCGTGAACCCGGTATCGAGACGGTAGTGATCGCTAAAAAGTTCGCTGAGATGTCGTTACTGGAGCGGCAGCTGGAGTGGCTAAAGAAAAAACAGGATAAAGTGGAAGCTGAGCGTCTCCGGCAGACGGAGGAGAATGAACGAGAACTCACGTTCCAACCGAAACTAATTCGTCGCATCACGTACTCGGGTGACAAATATTTTAGAGATACTCAAACGCCTCCTTCCAGTGGCAGATCTGTCACGCGAAGCGAGAGCAGTCGACGCTTTGGAGAAACTGGATCAGCAGCACTCCTGAAGGAGCGAACACTACCCAAAGTCCCGCGACTTTCTCATCATCGACGACAAAAGAAAAAGACCGCACTACAGATAGCGACAATATCCCAGCCTGTTGGCGTGTCCTGCAAACTTCTAGACAACATGAAGTCGGAGCTACAAGCGTCACTAGCTTCTAGTCGTAGTTCAGCAAGTGACATCCAACCCACGGAGCCCGACAAACACGAGGAACATGATCCTAATCATAGTGTGGATAACACGGGGAGCAGTGAGTCGAACGGAGAGGAACCACAGGTCGAAGAAACAGCAGAAGAGAAGCCTCTAGAAAATTTCCCTGCATGGAGTGCAAGGCCGACAATCGGTGGCAGACGCGTAGACTTCGACTCGAGTGAGACGAAAGTGCGGTTGGTACTACAGGATGCGTCCAAGTTCGAGCTCAGCTCGATGTACCGCAAGACAGATCGCAGGGCAGGACGAGATGGCATTGCCTTGCACGTTGGTCGGAGAGAAGACACGCTGGAGGAACAAGTGATCGCTGTGCTCTTCGATCGAGAGAAAGTGACCGAAGTGGAGGCCGAACGCTGGTGGGATAACCATCAGCATCGCTTCGCTGATTTCATCGAGCCGCAGCATTCGAGAAATGATGAAACGGAGGGGTTCATGTAGCAAAAGTACCATCGACTTCAACTTGAAGCTGTTCGTACTTAGTCCCCAGCTCACAGTACTCGTTCTCTGGTTTCGAAACGCCTAGTGTCACCGAATGCATAACTGTAATCACCTCTTTTCTCCAGATCGCACATTTAAGCATACAAAATTCAAATAAACTAGTCTGTACCAGTAGCAAATGTACCGTCCCGCTTTTCCAGTTTGAAAATCTCAATCGCAAATTCAAAAACGCGAAGAGCTCCACCGTCATTTCAGGATTGGCAACTTCTTCGGCGCGTGTATACGTCGCGTACACTGCTCATAGCGCCATGTCAGCAGTTTCGTCACATGAAGGCGTGTCTCCTCTACAAAATGAGCAACTTTCTGCGCCAACTGACCCAATACAAGCCGAGAAATCTACTGCAGACCAGCTGCTTATTGACACCAATGCACTACTATCAAAACTAGGCTTCAGTGACCGCGCATTCGCCAACGTCGCCGATCTCGTAGCCAGTGTATCATCCATGAGCGTTGCACTGTACGAGAAGCTCTTCCAGTTCCGTCTACGCGACGTGGAGCGCGTGCCACGGACTCTACAAGACTACGAGCACAATGCCCAGGTGGTTGCAGACGCGCTACGGGGCGCTCTATTGGGGCAAGGCAACGACGACGACGCGGTAAATGCACTAGCAGGAGAAAAACTCTGTGCTGGGGACTTTGGCAGCATCCGTCGGCTGCTGACGATGCTGGAACAGGTGTATACACTACTCTTCGAGGAGAGTCAGGAGGTCGGGGAGAGGCTCCGAGACGCAAGTCTCGCCAGTCTCGGGATGTCTGCAACGGAAGTACAGAAGACCGTCTCAAAACGACGAATTCCACCGAAATTTGCCAAGAAACAGAGGAAGGAGGGTGCGCCGAAGAGCGACCCGGGGACGACGTCACGGGAGAAGCGAAGGACTAAGGAGACCAAATCAAGAAGTGCGTCACAGTCGAGAGTGAGCCAGAAACAGGAGGAAGTTCGTGTTGGACGTGCTGTAAGTGCTGGGGAGCTAAGGAAAACTTCGGTGAGTGGGAAGGGTAGAGCGGATGTGATCGCGGAGAACAATAAAAAGCGCTCTCGACTGCTGGATCAATTTTTCAAGGCGAATAGTAGCAGAGCGGAGAATGCAGCTAAAAAGGCGGTCAGTAGGAGAGCAGGAGTTTCAATGAAGACGGTGACCGGGCGAAAGCAACGGAAGGACGATAAAGAGCTGCTGGAAACAAAACCGTACGGACGCTTTGTCACAGTAGGCAGTACCAGTTCGGACGAAGATAAACCTCAAGAAAACGCAAACAGGAACGAAGTCTCCGATAAGCAGGGCGTGTTCTTTGAAGGTGTGTCTTCAGTGCAACACAACAGCGACGAGAGCATGCATTTTATGGAGGACGAAGGAGTTTTCGCGCAGAATTTCTCGTCGATTAGTATTGACGATGAACCCGAGCAGAAAGATCAAGAACCAACTGACGACCGTGAAAATACCCAACCAAACGAGAACACAGCATCTGAGAAGCCTGTGACTCCCCGAAAGAGCGCTAACCATCAGGAAGCGGAAGAGAACGATGAACTGACGTCCAGCCCGGTCAAGAAAAAAGTTGCACGCAATGAGCCTCACGCTCCAGACCGGCCGTCTTCACGAACACGACGCGACCCATCCAAGTCCCTTTATCCTCTACTACCGAAGACTAGACACCATACTGCAACGTCAAAGGTTCAAGCGCAGTACTTGCGCTACAAGCTCTCGTTGAAGAACCATTTACAGGAATTACGTCAGCGAGAAGCTTCTCAACGCCAGCACTTGGAACGGGCGTTCAAATCTGGAGAGCACATGGCGAACGTCGACAAGATCCGGTCTCGTCGATTCGAGCAAGACGTGCGTTTACATCGCATCGCCATCGGTTTGGAAGCCAAGAACGAAGAGGAGAAACAGCTACGTCAAGCGATGAATCACTTGCTGGATCTGGAGAAGGAGAAGCTTCGAGAAGAACATCGATTGACGACATCAATGCTCAAACAAATTCAGAAGGAACACTCGGAACGAGAACAAGCAATGGAGAATTTCTACGCGAATCAGATTCAACTCGTTAAGGAGCAGACTCGACGTGAAGTTAAGGAGCGAGAACTTGTGGAAAAAGCTCAGCGCTCAGCGTCCGAGAAGATGATGCGTGAGCTTCGTCATGAACGCGAGAACCAACTAACAGCTCTACTTCAGGAGAAACAGCACTTGGAGGAAACTCGGAGATTTCGGCACGCTTCACAAATGGCACATTTGTTAGAAAAAACTGAAGAGCGTTCGGTGAAGAGAACCGATGCATTTTACACTGCAGCCATGAAGGCACGTGAACGACACACTGTCAAGAAGCAGAATACTCAACGACGAACCAGTCTCGACCCGTATCGAGTTACTTCAATGCCGCTAAGGAGATCTACAACAAGGTTCTCGAAAAGTACCGTAAGATAATGCCAATTTTACGGTTGCCATTCAAAACTTACAGGTAACGTTAGTTTTAATGTTCAAGCGCAAAAACCCCTTTTTATCTATAACATGTACTTGCGCGAGCCAGCTAGCAGGTCCGCTGCATGAATAACTCCCTGTAACTTGCCACGATGTGTGACGAAGAGCTGTGGACATTTGTGTACTGAGATGAGGAGGATCACGTGGCTGGCGAACGTATCTCGAGGCACGTGGAAATGTTCTTCTTCCAGACTCAAAAGTTCGAGATGTACCAAGTCTACGTCCTCTGAACTTTCAGTCGCTGGATTGGACAACACAACAGCTTGTTCAGGCATGATACCTGCCACTGAAACACGACGGTCTGACACTCTGCCACTGCGTAGACTGAGCTCCCACAACACAACCAGAGACTCGAGTTCTTCACGCGTAGCAACTCCCAGCAACACCATCGTCTTGGTGTCATCCACGACTGGAAAAAGACGAACGATCTTATCTTTCTTGGCACGACTAGTAACTTGCAGCAAATGCTTGATCGAACTCAAAGTTTGACGTCGAACGAGATAGTAAGGAGGCATATCGCGCATAAGATCCCCAGCTGTGAGCGAGTAGGATATCTGCTTGGTCAGGTCCGGCCATTGAGGCAAGTTCTTCTGACGAGCCATCGTCTCGTACATGTCGAGCGAGAAAAATCGCGTCACAGCTCGTCCCACGATCACACAAAGGAGAACGGGGATCATGTAGCTCAGCTGTCCTGTGAGTTCGAACACGATCACTGCGATGCTGATGGTTCCAGTCACACCAGCCGTGAAGCTAGCGGCTCCGACGACAGCGTAGCCACCAATAGACAATTCTCCTTCACTGAGAATCACAACTAATTCACCAAACAAGCGACCAAGCGCAGCACCGATCGCGAATACAGGTGTAACAATACCACTGGGCACGAACACGGTGGCGCTGATGGCCAAGGCCCAAAAACGTACAACCACGTACGCGAACAGGTTCAACAACAGTGACGGAGACGTCCACGAACTGCCGAAGTCGATGGACAAATGTGTCGCAGTGGATACTTCATCAGCAGCTAACGTCTTGGTGGAGAACATGTCGTCAATAGTCTGGCGTTGGGTGAGTTGCATGAAGCTGCCGACTGGGTACTCCACGATAGAGAATAGAAATGCCACTAATGCAGCATAGATAAAGGGCGAAACTCCAGGAAACCTGCCGCACCAGATCAACAGATATTGGTCTTCAAGTTTCTTCTTCATATCGAGAGTCATGCGGTATGATCGCACCAATAACGCAGCGAGGAGACCACAAATCACCGCCAATAACAGGAAGAATGCGATCTCGAACGTCTCGTACGGCAGTGGGTCGAAATAAGTTGTGAAGAGGGAGCCGTACGATCCAGCGAGAAGGCTATTGAGTCCACGGAAGACCACGACGCCAACCACAGACGAGAAGAAGGCGCGCCAGTAGTTGGACGTCACGTAGTAGGACGTCGTAACTTCGATACTGAAGAGCACGCCGCCAACTGGAGCTCCGAACGTCGCAGTGACGCCCACAGCACACGCCGCTGCCAGCATGTGGTGCGTCAGGTCCTTGGACTTCCGGATCTGCTCAAAAAGTGGCAACCGCAGCAATTGTCGAGCGATAATCGAGCTCAAGTGCACGAATGGGCCTTCTTTTCCTATAGTGAGGCCACTTCCCAGTGCCAGTATCAAGGCGAAGCACTTGGCGATCAACGCGCGTCCTGTTAGGTAGTTTGGGAATGGGAAACCTCCCAAGATGCTCCTCATCTCGGGGATACCGGAACCAACGGCTTCCGGATAGATGAGGACAGTGCAGCCCACGCCCAGCAGTAGAATGAACACTCGGAAGAGGATGTAGAAGAGATAGCCTAGAGACCAGGTGCCTCCGAGCTCTGTGAAGTTTGAGTGGAGCTTTGTGACGACCAATACACCTGCATCGACACTCCAAGCTGTCACGGACGCTAGCGTGCCCAGTAGCAGTAGAAACACCCAGGAACTTTGTAGAAATGACGTCATTTGCTCGCGCTCGAGTAGAGAGCGGGCCAATGGGATGGAAGCGGCCTCCATGGCTGAGGAGGAGCTTGAAGCTCCGCTTATAAAGCTCGGGACGCCTCGAGCTTCACCTTGCCACTCGTCGTCGCTGTCGTCGTCGTTCAGCAGCTGAAGCGGCCGGTATCGTCCGTTGAGCGGGTTTTGACCTGTACCCGACTGCTTCATGGCCGATTTAGCCTGGTCCAGAGCAGCGGAGGGTGACCAGCCTTTAGTCCACGAAGTTGCAGAGTTCGGCGTAGTGGCGTTGGGATCTCCTCCACCAGAGCTGGACGCGGCGCTCTGGACGCTCTGGCTGGACGAAATGACCTGCACCGACACGGACGGAGATGAAGGAGATGCGGGCGCAGAGGAAGAACCATCGATAGCAACGTGGGAGGACACGGGGGCCGCGCCGGGCGAAGGTAAGGACATGCCAGCCGTACAGGTCCAAGATGGTTGTCTGATGGTCGACTATCGAGTTGACCTGTGCAGAAACGTTTCTATTTCCACAATATTTTGGAGTCAACGAACAAATAGATACTAGTAATACTGGATAGAAACAACGGGCGGACATTATCTGAGCAGTTACTGTGTACCATGGTAATTTACGAGCCCGAGAGAATTTATTTTCAAAATTAAAAATTAAAAAAAATAGTCGTGCACCCCCTCTCAGTGTGTGAACGTAGAGTGGCAAGCAAAGTCCGCCCCAGCAACTTGTGTTGACATGTTCCTGAAGTTTAGACCGCAGTTTTCGAGTAGGCATTTCTGCGTCAGTTGGTGCTTGCTCGACTGAAGAATGAGTGCCATCGCTGGGATCCTCGATCAGATACCATTCCTATTCACGAGTGGTTACTCCCTTGGTCACCTTACGTCGATACATTGATCTCAAATTCATGTTAATAGAGAACTTTCGGAGACGATATTAGTTTCAGTTTCAAACGCTACACCTACGTTCTATGTAATCTGAAAACAAACTCTCAAACAGATATTTCGGTTCTTTTTGGTTAGAGATACCGACAAGAATACAGTTCGTTTCAAGAATTCACTCGAAATTTCTTTCGTAGAGAATTCTTAGCTGCAGCATGAGTCAAGACGCCACGGAGGACGCCTTTATCAATGAGAGTGTACCATCAAGCGCCGAAAAGAAGCAGCTCCGCCATGCCATCCGAAAGAAGTTCGCAGCGGTTGACGACGTGGTTCTCTTGCGTGCTGTAAATGCATTCCGGCCTTGGCGCGCTCCCGTAGGCATATTCAACGGAATAATGAAAGTGTTCGAGGACATCGCCTTTCAATGCGGCGCTGACCCTGACTTCGGAGTAGACAAGCCTGGAGTCGCTCTTAGAACACGCTTCGGAACCCTTATGAAGGAGTTCAAGCGAGACCAATGTAGATCTATGCGTAAGTCGGGCACCGTAGAGCAGTACGAAGAGCGCGACCGATTGTCAGTGGACATCACCACCCAGGTCGACGACTAGAACGCCAAGGTGGGCACCGACAACAAGGTGAAAGAAGCTAAGCAGCTTGCAATCGAGAACTCAGGTGATCTCATGCGTCGTCTTGCTATGAACGAAATCGACGAAGATGATACGAATACGGAGGATGACGACATTTCTACGGACGGCAAATACACCCAAGCTCAACAAAAGCTTGGAAAGAAGCGGTTAACTCGACCAGGGAGTGCTCAAAAAGGAAAAATTACCAAACGTGAACGCTTAGCCGTTGTTATGGATGCTCTAACAGAGAGCCTGAAGTCAGCGAGCGGAGAAGACAACTCCAAGTACGAGTACAAAACGAAGCGACTTGCGTTTGGAAAAGAACAAACTGAGCTACAACTCAAGCACAAGGCTGATAAAGCTGAACGACGTCGCAAGCACGAGTTAGAACTCGAAGATCGACGCCGAAAAGCTGATGAGGAGCGCGAAAAGCGCATGTTCGACTTCTTTCGAACAATGCTGAACCAGACCAACAGTAAATAGTACTTTTCTGAATTGAACAACTGCTTATGTAGTCTGAGAGCCAAGATATACATCTAGCGTAGGAGGCATTAATCCAAAAAACATGGAGATTTGGTTGCCTAAAGGTTGCATGCATGTATGGCAGTTTGTTAATAAAACCCCAACAAAGAAGAGATTTCCAACTGCAGTATGTCTAGCACGATTATTTTTTATCCCAATTCAGAAATTCCCATTGTGTCTTCACACGACCAAATCCCCACTCGACGCTTTCCCTGACACTGCTCATTTCTCGGTTGAATTTTACCGCTATAGTTGACGTGTCAATAGACGGACAGCAAAAAAATCTACTGCAACCATAGGCTGGATCTCCATAAATTAGCTGTCCACAAAATATTCCACTCTGGTCATTCTCCATTAAATCAACCAGACCACTGAGATTTAACATTGTGGAATCATGTCGTCTCCCTTCTAAAGGCCCAAAAAGACTCACGATCAACCCGTCTGGGGCTTGAAGGCTTTGCCAATTGAAACAGTGCCTACGTGGATGCCCATTGAAAAGAGCACGTTGCAGATTTTCATATTCAGATGCAGCGTTCTCTCGTGCACTTGGTGTAGCCACATACTGCTTTGTTCCATCAATAAAAGCCCAGCACATTCGTAACGAAGATCCTTTGGAGTGAATGGCAGCTGCATACTCGTTAATTCTTAGATGTACGAGTTGATAATTGAAGTATACTAAGTCAAGGTGCTGGTTAACGAGAAGCTGAGCGGTTTTTTTTCACGACACGACTGTACGGACCCGTGCCTCGCCCAAATTCACTTGCTACAGTCAACAACTTCGAAGGCTCCGAAAGGCGACGGCACAGCATTGCTAGTGCCTCAACGCGGTCGACTCGATCTCCCGACGGAGTTGTAACACCGTCCACGGGCAGCTTGAGTTTCTTCGCCAGCTCCCTCAGCTCTGTGATAGTAAAACGATAGCGAGCTTTAGCCGTAGCATCGTCGAGCATAACGTCAAAGCGTCTGCTGCTGTCAACTGAAGGAGCCGCATCCCTCAGTCGGAAGCAATTTTGCTGCTGTTGAACCGTCATTATCCGTGCGAACCTCCTCCTGTTTCTCTTCGAAAGCACCCATACAGAGGCTAGTACATGGGACGCTTGCTCCGCTGACAGCTTTGGCGCGACGAATACCATTGTTGGACTGCTTCTTTAGGCGACACCAAACTGCAGCTCTTTTTTTAGTCAGCCGCTACCCTTACCACCGTAGAGATAAGATTCGACACCTATTCCCGGTAAATGATGCTGTGAAGCTGAAACGTGACCGATTTGGACGTTCCGAAAGTTCTCTTATGGCTTGACTTTGAGCTTGAGATCGAAGTGAAGAGCCTAATTTCAACTATCGAGTTAATCTGTGCAGAAACGTTTCTAATCTTTCGGTTTCCAAACATTTTCCATTCTTCACAGCGAAATTTTCAGGTTTCTAATGGATCGTTGTAATAGTTTACTTCGTTTCTATTGTGAAAAATAAAATCGAGGTAAGAAACAGGTTACATCAAAATAAATAACTTTCATAAATATCATGAAGAATCCTTCAAGTTTTATTAAGCTGCTTACCTCGAAAAGAGATTTCATCTGGAGATCTCTCGGTTTAGAGGCGCAGCACGTGCGACCGGAGCTGTCAGGACTCCTTTACGTTGGTACTGCTCGACGAAGCTGATGAGATCTGGATACAAAATCGTCTTCTCCGTCACATCTTTTTGTGGAACAGTTGAATACGAACCATTTTCTAAGTGGTGAATCAAATTGTGGCGGAATTTGGGTGCACCACTCGCCTCATCCAGCCCAGTCACGAAAGATGCACAGTAGGTCTGTTGCCTTGATGTATAGCGGATGAGAAAGCTGCCCACTCGATGAGGTTGGCGTCGCGTCAAAAGTTCCTGCGCTTTCTCGCGGGAGATATCTCCATGGAAAAAGCTCTGCAAACCTTCAGCACGGACATGCAAAAGCCGACGCGCTAGCTGGAATTTTTCATCTGCTGCAAATGCAGCAACGAGTTGCATGCAATCCTCTCCAGTAGCTTGCTACAAGTATTGAACGACATCAAAAACGTTAGTTCTGGTAAGTAAAATAACACTTAGATTTCCTACCATCAAGTGATTGCAGGCATTGCGCACGATGTATATCTTCGACTTTAGCTTCTCATCTCCCGTTGCCTCCAGTTCATAGCTGCAAATAAACAATACAAATCAGCAATCCAATTGGTAACATATTCACGAAAAATACCGTACTTGAGGTTGACAAACTCAGAAGCATTGCTGCGTGTGAGCGTCTGATACTCCCGAGCTGCCCAGCGACCTAAACGCTCGTGGCCTGATGCAACGTCGACAAAGAAGACGCCAGAGCTGCTGCTATCACGTACCCAATCTAGCACGGACGTGTGAAATGGTCGCAGTGTTTGAGTCTCAGGGTCATTTCCAGCTTCTATCGAGAAGAGAGACCCCAAAACGGTGGCTGCATCTCTTTGCTCATATACATCCCATTCCAATACTCGAGCAATTGTGGCAACGGGAAGCGGCTCATACGCTGCACAGCATACCTCCAGCACGGGTCGTACACGATGCTTGTACATGTCGTGGTCAGCGAAATGACTCGCAAAGAACTGCTGCAGATAAGCTCCCATACCAACAGGTAACTCGGCCAATTCGTGAAGATGTAAACGACCTTCACTGATTGCTTGGACGACGTTGACAGCGTACAGAAAGAGTCCTTCAGAACGGCGAGCAATTAACTCAACCACTTGCTCCATCCCGAACTCGTGATTGTTGCCCGAGTCAGTGCCTATCTGTGCTGCAGCTTTCTCAAATTCCACTTCGCTTAACTGCAATTTTGAGAGGGAATGATTGATATATCGACGGATATCTTGATCGTTTTCGTGCTTGAACTGTTCGATAGTCACATCTGGGGGATCGAAGGCGCGTAATTTGGACAGCACGGGTGGTTCTTCTCGGCTCAACAAGACAATACGAACCCATTCTGGCAACCGTGACACGAGCATTGGCAGCATTGACACAAAACACTCTTCGTCCTTATTTTCTCTCCATGATCCTCCGCTAAACGGCGGCATTTGAGAAGATGACGAAGCAGGTATCAACCACTCGACACCGTCAATTAGCAGAACCAGCGACTTGTACTTCGATGGCCTCGCAATCGCAGTGAGTGGGCCGATCAGCAGATGTGTCACGAGTTCCACGAAAGACGCAACAGGGACCATCTCTTCTAATGGTTCATGAGACTGCAAATAGTGAGCGTACTCTGGTAACTGAGTCGTCAGCTGGTAAGCGAGCGAGAGAATACACCGTCGAGCGTTGTGTGTCTGCTCATCTTCCTGCGTAGCCAAGTGAAATGCAGCGATTTCGGGACAAGACTGTACCATACACGCAGCCACGGACGTTTTACCCGAGCCAATCTGGCCGACCACCCAAAACACGCGCTGGTTACTGAGCTCACGTGTTGATGACGAAGCCGCAGAGCCTTGAACCCATCGTTGAAACTGCTCGAAGAGCCATTCTCTTCCAATGAAGTTCTCTGTGAGGTGACTGATTTGACGCTGGAAGTTGAACGGAGCCAATAGAGAAAACAGCCTTGCCTGCTGGCCTTCATGGTCTAAAGTACCTTCCAAAGCCGATATGAGCTGGTCCTTGCGACTCTCGTATCTGACTTGGTTAAGGCTGGCCGTGACTCCGTTCCCAATCGCGTCGCCACTGTATATAAGGCAGTCTGTCATGTCTAACCATTGAATACGACAGATTGAGAGCGGAATCTCGCAGGTGCGGACGAGCAGAGGCACAAAACCCAGTCCTGCGCTCATAGCTGCTGACACATCATTCAAACTGACACCATGCGGACGTCCCACACTCTCCGCCGTCAGCAAGAGTATTAGCTTGCCATCTTTCTCGGCCGATGCCCACTGAAGAGCATCTTCTCGAGAACTGGGTTTTGTTCCGTCCTCCATGGTTAATCCAATACTACCCGTCGTTGACACTGGGTAAACGGAGAATCCTGACTTTGTAAGATCTTGGTAAATTTGAAGAGCGAGCACGTAGCAGCTCACGTCGTAGCTGAGAACGTATCGCGTTTTTCGGCATGATACTGCATTGTCATCATCCACTTTAATCGCTGAAGAATCTTCACTAGTGCCTTGACCAACAACCGCGGAGGCTGCACTGGCGCTTACGTTCTCAGCTTCATTGACGCTCACCGCTTCAGCTACCTGAACTGATGCAGTACTGAGGGTCGATGTAGCATCTTTACTTGACTCTTCCGACGGAACATCTAGACTGGCGGATCGTCCGCGCGTTGGAGAAGATGAGAGCAGTCGCCGTACGCTGCTGCTCCGCGGCGTGTCCAGGTGGTGGTCATCAAAGCCCGGAAAGAGGCCTAAATTTGCCAACCCTGCCACCGCAGGAACACCGTAGCTTGTAATGGAATCAAACTGCAACAACCCATGCAACACAAGCGGAGACAAAGTCAGTCCTGCTTGCCTTCAACTTCAACGCAGCAAGATGTTGCGCTGAGTCAGCCTATCAAGTCAGTTTAAAACAACATCGCACCAATTCCAGCATCGCATACAATCGTTCCGCCTTGTCCAAGAAGGCAGACGATTCCAAGCAGCTTTTCATGAGATCCTGCCACTCCCGACTGTCCTTTGCAAGCCCCAAATCTCCAGGGACGCAGTCGCGCATATCGAAGAACGGCAGTATCCCAATACTCGGCGGCGGCGCACTCTCAGCCACCATTACGGGGAAAATATTGAGTCTTAACGATGCAGCCCTTGCAACTTCATTGAGACAGTAGCCGTCCGGTCGTCGTAATGCATGAGGCGTCATGACCAGCAACACTCGGCCGTCTGGGCCTGCATCCCGGACCCAAGATAGGCCGCCTGCAATGCCTTCCTCCCAATCAATACCTGCTGACAACTTCTCAATATCCAGCCACACCACGTGACCGCGTCGTTGCACTGTAGAGCAGCACTAAAGACCGTAAGATTTCTGGTTGTTAGTGGGCCGTAATAAGTGTAGATTATTTCGTACATGCAGCCTTCAAATGGAAGGCTAGAGCTTGGAACCTGTCGTGACCATCTATCATTAAAAAAAATAATTATGTTGAGTTATTTTGAGCTCGTCGAACCCATGATATGAGAGTAGATTCGGCGGCTCGACGCGCTCATCTGGCGTGAATTTGACGCTTACAGGAGAGGAAAATCTTGAGACGTGCGCTTGGCGTGTATTGAAGCGTACGGGCGACAGAAGTCGCGAGTGGAAAGCTGCCATGGTCCCCTACATCGCTGTCAAGGCGACTCGAAGTGCTGCCTCCGTGCATCCTATCCAGATAGCCTTGATACTTTTGGAAATACA